ACAACGAGGTGCGTCTGGGTGTCATGATCGTTTGAGTATACGCTGACCAGGCATACAGTGTTACTGTGGCTCTTACGCTCCTCTCGCGTCTAGGAAGGACTCTACCAACGCTAAATGTCTCTATGCGTGCAAGGGTGGGTGTTTCGTATACTAGCTCAAATGTCAGAAGACTGACTCGATGTTTAGGCGATTCCTCTCAATTCTGTGGCGGTAGTGCTCGAGTAGCAATCTACCAGGCCAGCTCTGTTTCCTCTTCGGCCGCAGCATCGACGTCAAAGGCTTCCTCTGTCGCCTCTACCAGTGCGGCTTCCACGTCCAAGGCTTCTTCATCCGTCGCATCTACCAGTGCGACTGCTTCCTCGACGTCCAAGGCTTCGACCACTAGCGCCGCGGCATCGACTTCTGCCGCTTCTTCCACGTCAAAGGCTTCCACTTCCACGTCCTCCTCGTCAAGCGTTGCTGCATCCAGCACCAGTCTCGCTATCACGACCATCACTGGTTCTACGTATCTCGGATGTTACTCCGACAGCGGGACTGATCGTACCCTGAATGGAACCAAGAGTTCTACTAGTACGATGACTGCCAAGACTTGTGTCAGCTACTGTGCTGGTCTTGGGTATCAGTACGCGGGTGTGGAGTACTACAACGAGGTAAGTCAATGTTCTAGATTCTTCTTGCAATGCTAACGATCATTATAGTGCTATTGTGGCAACACTGCCCCACCCTCGACCAAGAAGGACTCTACGGACGCCAAGTGTCTTTACGCGTGCAAGGGCGACTCTACCCAGACTTGTGGAGGCAGTGCCCGTCTGGGTATCTACTATACCAGCTCGATCTCCACAACCAAGGCGGCTAGAAGATCACTGCCAACTCGGGAAAGTGAGAGGGATATCAGCCGCGTTGTTCACAGGCGCAGGGGCCTCGGTCGGGTGTAAAATGTTCTCTTTACATGTTCTTCGTTTGAATCAAACAACTGTATCTCTAGTACTTTCTGAATCATAATTCCATTTTGTCTGAGAAGAGTATTCATAGTTTAGCATGACATGCATCTGTCCATTGTATCGTATCTTGCTCTTGTCGGTTAAAGGAAAGAGCAGCGGCTCCGGCCCTCTCCGCATTTGACGTCACGGCAGGCCGAGTTGACCCTGGAACCATGATGAGCGATATTTGACTATTGTGCTCCACTATGTCTTTGACCCAATTATATGTATCTCCATTTCTCAACTGTACTTCCATCTTCTTCCCCACCCAAACACCAATCGCCATGCCAGCGGCCGATTTCCCAAAGCCACCAGACCCCCTGGCCCCTCCCCTCCGCCTCATCGTCGCTCTCGCCTCTCTCTGCGCCAAGTCATCTGTCACTCTTTCAGCAGGTGCCCAAAAGTGGTATGAGGCAGAGTCAACATCATGGCTCCAATCAGTCTGCAAGCTGCTGGAATTCAACATTGAGCAGCTGCCTTCGTCCATCGAGCCAAGCCAGGTCAAACTCGCTGCAGACGAGCAGAGAGAAGAGTGGAGCCGAGAGGAAGTTATCAGGATTGCTGGCATTCTCATAGAAGCCAGTGTAGCCCAGGACGCGCAGGAGAGTGCAAAGAAGGGCAACAAGGAGGGTTCGCTCAGGTATACGCCCGTCGCGCGGGCACTGTCGTACCGAACAGCTCAGCTACTGGGATTCCCCGCCAACGAGCTCATCCCAGGAGCCGAGAAGAACCTCGCTCATACTCTCTTCAAAGCCCTCAAGTCTGCTTCTGACAATGAGCAGAGAGACAAAGTGGAGAGTGCTAGGGCGGCGCAATCTCAAGGATGGGGTGGATCTCTCGGACGCCATCTGGGTGAGTATCTCTCGAACATTTTGACGTCTCGAAGCTGATGTCTTTGTAGCTACCGGCGCTGGTGTAGTAGCCGGTGGTGTGCTTCTGGGTGTCACAGGAGGTCTCGGTACGTTCATTTTAGGCAATATAGCGCCTTACTGATATCCACAAAGCTGCTCCTGCAATCGCCGCCGTCCTTGCTCCTCTCGGTATCGGCACCGTCCTCTCCGCCTCGGCCGCCCCAGTCGTCCTCGGTACCCTCTTTGGCGTCGGTGGTGGCGGTCTTGCCGGTCGACGAGTCCGCGAAAGATGGAGGGGCGTAGAAGAATTCAGCTTTATCGAGATCGGCGATGGCAACAAGGCTACTCAAGAAGAGATTGATGATCTTCAAGCGTCAAGCAAGAAGGTCAAGGATGACGCGGCTGCAAAGGCGAAGGAAAAGGCCGAGAAGAAGCAGGAAGAAGAAAAGCCTGCGGAGGATGGGAGCATCAGTGATGAGCAAGCGGCGAAGAATGTTGAAGCCGGACGATTGGATATCGAACAAAGGCTGTTGAGTCTTACTCTCAAATCTGGCACGAGGACGAGTATCTCTGAGTCCAACGACTCGTTCAAGGCGACTCCTGAAAGCCCTCGTGTTTCTCTCGACAAGCCGAAAGATGAGAAAGCTATCGCTGAAGCACCCAAACCTCCCAGTTTGACTGTATGCTTTTCTTTCCTAACTCAGATAAGCGCTAACGATGACTGCAGGCCACTATCGTCGCTCCCGGTCTTCTTACTGTATCCCGTACCGAAGCCATCTCCGCTTGGCGAGCTATCTGCTCGTCCGTATCCAGTTCTCAGGCAACTCTCGCTCCTCGTGTCGTACCTCGGGAGAAGGGTGAGCCTATTGGGGCTGAAGAAATCAAGGAAGGAAAGCAGCTTGGGCTCAAAGACGGGCGAGACGTCTATCTGTTGAGATTTGAGAGTGCCGCTATGTTGAAGACCGGACAGGATGTGGAATTCTGGGGTGAGTTGGAGATCTTACATGTCTTGCGATGTATAGCTTATCGTTCCTTTAGTGGAAAGCAAGCTCAAAGGCTACGTCAAAAAGGAAATCATCAAGCGCACTCTTCTCAACGCTTACTTTGCCGCCGTCAGCCTGCCTCTGTGAGTACGTTCCCATCCATCCGAGTGTCCTCGACTGACCATACGGCACAGAACGGTGTACTCGATGGCCTCTATGACTCTTGACAACACTTGGGTGCATGCGCAGGACCGAGCCAAGAAAGCCGGTCGACTCCTTGGAGAAGTAATCGAAAAGCGCGTTCAAGGCGAACGACCTGTCATTCTCGTACGTACAAGCACCTCCCTATAAGTTCCTTCGATCACCACTGACTCTTGTAGATTGGCTCATCTGTCGGCGCCTTGACCATCCAACACGCTCTCCTCTACCTCGCCTCTCTCCCAACACCCCCCGGCGCCCGCTCCTCCGTTCCAGCATACGTCGAATCTGCCTTCCTCATCTCTCTACCCGCAGCTCCGACGCAAGAAGAGTGGCAGCAGTGCAGAAGCGTGGTAGCTAGAAGATTGGTGAATGTGTGGAGTGATTCTGACTTTGTGCTGGCAGGTGTTGTGAGGTACGTCTCTTTTGTGAGATTTTGGGAGGAGAGAGTTGACTGGATTCACAAAGGTTGCATGAGGTGGTCTCGAAAGCTGCGATGGGATCGAGTGGGATTCGTGTGGCCGGCTTGGGCCTTGTAGAGTACCCGGGGGTGGAGAATGTGGATGTGTCGTCGGTGCTGAGAGGGCATATGGAGCTACAGGCGAAGATGCCGGAGATCTTGGATATCATCAATGTTGATGCGTAGATAGAGCATCCGGCCGATTATTGACTGTCGTTTTCTCTGTCATGGACCGTGTAGCTATAGGCGGTGGTATCTGATGACTGTCCCTAGTTCACACAGATCGGATGCCTGAGACAAAGTACCAGATTGGCAAAGACAATGTGCTCGCCGTCGTTGATGATCAAAACGGAGGCTAGCAGGGTTCTACTATGCTCGGTTACTGTACTCGTACTCGCACATAAGGCGGACATACGCCGGGTCATGATAGTGGTCTTCCGCCTAACCCTTTCACGCGAGGAAGCCGCAGCGGCACCGGCGCGATCCTTTCCTGTCGCTGTATGTTGAGGGACACATCATCAACGACTTAACGGTGACTTTGATCTTTGTGAAGCCCGAAAGCAGTCCCGTACGCTTCATGTCCATCCGCAAGACTGACTGCCAACAACCACCATAAGAGACTACCGCTCCTTTGACCATCCCGGCAATATCGGCTGCCGCAGTATAGCGGTCTAAACCAAGAACCTCCCACAGATACGGCGGGACAGTCGGGCTGCCTCAACGTTCACATCGGCTGAGGCCATGGATCGCTTCTTTCACATGTTCACCTCGTCTGCTCTTTTATATCCTACCATTGACAGCTGACTTGAACCTGTACGATAGTATCGCCGCAGCAGCAACAAGCTGGACAAGATAGCATCCTTAGTAACATCGAACTCACAGTCGTTGATTCAGGGCAGCCAGGTATGTTATAGTTTTCTCTTCTCTTCTTCTAAGCATCACTGCCTGAATAGTAACCTACCAATATTTCTGCTTTTGGTAGCGAAAGGAAAGATCAGGCCAAAGAATAAGGATGGTAGAGAGTTGTTTGCGGCTGAGAAGGCGACTGAGCAACTCACCGAGTCTCGTGAATATAGTGAGTAGCTCTACCAATCACCTCTCCACCTTGTCATCCGTAGCAGACCCAGAGTGATTGTATATTACCTCAAAATAACCTTCATCACCCATAGACAAGAGGAAATCAAGAGCATACAGAGCGAGGAAGAGGGATGACAAGAAAAGGAAAGAAGATGAGTCCAAATCAGAAACCTATGACTCTCGATTTGGGGTGGATGAGGAATTCCCAGCCTTTGCTGAGGAATCCGCTTATCCCCACCCACTGAAGAAGAGTTGTAGAAAATGTCTCGGGAGTTTGGGGATTTGTGGTCGCAGGATTACTGACCGCAGTAGCCGTCACAACAGCACTCGAAGTATCCTTTTTTTGGCCTCATCGAGCAGCGTATCTATCAGGATTAGAGGGTGGTATCAGGGCAGCATGCATGGAGAGTTATACGTTTGTCTATTCGGCCAGTGCTGGGATAGATATAGTTCACCCGATACATATCAACATGTCAAAAGTCCATTTGGTTGTTATATACTTCTTCCATCTTTCTGTTGTCTGTCGAATCTTCAGTAGTCTGCCAACAATAGCTATCGTGAATGTGAGAAAATGATACGGGCCTATGAGGTATACAGAGGAGGTAAATGAATGGGATAAAGGTGATGGGAGAGTGGTGAGTGTTTGGGTAAAAAGCTACAGGTCGTTTGGTATATGATATTGAAAAGGAAATCTAATAGAAACACGTGTCCGTCGTAAAAAGTGTCAAAGAAAGGTCCCGCTACTATCAACGGGAGAGCGCAAGCCTGTCCACCCCATCCACAACCCTCTCCACCGCCGCCTCACAGCTCACAGGCCTCTTCTTCTTCCCTGCTGCTGCTGGCACAACATCCATGTACCCCAACACTCCGTCAACATCTTCCATCTCTTCATCCAAGTCCCTTTCTCTGACAGGGACGTTGAACAGCATACCGCGGGGAGAAGCTGGTGTGACGATGGTGTATGATGAGGAGTGGGATGAGGTAGTAGAAGCGGAAGTCGAGGAGGAGGCGGAGGATGTCCGAAGAGGAGCGAGAGAAGGGCGAGGAGGGGAGAGAGAGGGGTGGACGAGGATTGTGGGAACTTTGACTGGGGATGGGGAGAGGATCGTAACGGGAGAGTGGCCCGGGGTATTCAACTGATTCCTATATCAGCATATACAATACACTCGCGGGAACGGGAGAACTCACTTGAAGGTTACTGTTCATCTCGGTCAACATACGCCCATCGGAAGAACCAAAACGAGCCTTCTTTGGCGTCGTCATATCGTCTTCCTCAAGAATCTCCGCTAGATCCGGTAACGGCCTCGCCATGCGCTGCTCGGGAGACGACATGTTACCCTTTGACCCGATAGAGCTCAACGTTCTCTCGAGCGGGGGCGCAACAATGCAAGCCTTGTCAGGCGAAAGATGACTAGAAGTTGAGGCTGAAGCCAGGGCAAATGTTTGCTGCTCTGTAGCGCAGAATGAGTGTGTGCGGCGAGGTGGGCCAGGGCGTCGGCTCATACCCGGTCTTGAGACGCCTGGGGGCGAGGGTGAGGGCGATGGCGAGGGGTAGGGCGAAGCACGAGGGGATGAGGGGCGTTGCTGGGTGGTGAGACGATGAAGGGCAGATCGTCCTGGATGCGGTATGAGTAATGGAGAGCCGGCTGTGGAGGGAGTAGGCTTTGTGTTGCGCTGGGAAAGCATGGAAGGGGAAGGAGAGCGAGGCATGGTGGCAGTAGAGCGAGTCGAGCGTCTATGAGCACCGGGGACTGGGGGTGTTAAAAGAGCGTGGGGGCAGTGGGCTGCTGAGTTATATCGACGTGGGAATGCGAAAGAGAGATGTTTCCCGTTCATTTCGACATTTGAAGGCGAAGTGCCGTGGGCGCCCTGAAGTTGTGACTTTGGCGTAAGAGGCTCAAGATTGGGCCAGGAACGGCGTGACAACCGTACCCATCTCGACCGGCAGATGCTGCTCTTCCTTTCGTTTCTTCTGCTTGCATGCATGCAGATGTCTCTACCAGATTGACGATGGGTATACTTGCGTCCCGTCAAGAGAACATATTCCATCCCGCGGGTCGTATGCTCCTCATGACGCGTCGAAGCAGCAGAGGAGGCCTTCCCGTCTCATTCGCGGGCGCGACCGACCGTGACAGCGGTAGCTTCCTTTTGGCGCTTTTCCAGAAACAAGTTCCAGGATCAAAGATCAAATGTGATCAAGGCTTGTGGATGCGCAGGTATAGACTCCTGGTCTGGCCTCTGCGCTCTGCATGGATCCAAGTATCAACACAGGCAGCGAGCAGCGAGTATATACTTTAACTGAGGCACCATAATACTTGCTTTTGGCGCCTCCTTCTTGATATACCCGGCCTGCATATAAAGTCCTACTCTGAGATCGAGGCGTCTGGGCGAATCTTCACATATACTATGGAGAAGGAAGAAGCCCAGCCTACATCCTGCAATCGAGCTTCAGGCAAGTGCCGCCATACTAGCTGACAGCATCTAGACCATCCAAACTTTAGACGCTCCTCCGTCGAGCTGAGTTCTGTTGCGCCGGAACATATTTCGTTCAACTTCTTCAGCCGTTGAACATCACGTAGATGTTCCTGCACATCCCGGGTGGCTTGTATATTTCTTCCTCCAGTCCCTCCGATAACCGGTCAGACCCCTCATCGGTGGGAACTCAGTATCTACCCCAGATGGAGGATCGTAGGGTGACTGTGACTTGGTCTTCTTCTCCCTGTTTCCCCCTCGACTACTACCGCCTTGGTTTTTGGCCTTCTGAGATAGCCTTTTCCGGCACTCCCTCTTTTTCCTCGCGTCTACAGAAACGATGTTTAGCAGAAGACAGCAGGGCGGAGTTTGGATTTGCTTACTATATTCACGGAGTCTCGCTCTCTCTTTCTCCTGCATCTAAGACTCCCGAAAATGTCTAACATTCCCCCAGTCGCCCCCCATGTCCTTATCGCCATTGTCTTGGTAGAAAGGCTGCTGATCGACTGGTGGGTTTATCTCGCCTCTGCGGGCGCGCTCCACCTCTAGCTCCTTCGCTCGCTCAAGGGCGGCTTGCTCAAAAGCGGCTTCCTCCTACGCCTCCTGCGCCAGCAACCGTGGATCATCCCAACGTACCCTGATATATTTATCGGTATCCGGGTTATAGAGCTCGCCCCACTTGTGTGACGCGCGAGGTTTGAGCAGACACCGCTGACGCGGGAGATCTATACTGAAGATGAACTCGTCGTCAGACATGGCAGATGTCACAGTCGGGGCAGCGTCAAGTGTAGATGCGACAGCGATGGTAGTCCGATCTGTTTGCAGGCGTGCGAGTGTGGGTAGAGGAGTGGCGTTGCGGTGGCGGCGTCAACGGCAGTGGGGAGGGAAGAGGGGGCAGCGTGGAAGCAAAGATGGGAGCGATGTCTGGACAAAAACAACTGCAACGAAGAGTCTATCTGGTGAACAAGTGCATGGACGCGTTCTGGACGCGTTTCGACTTAATTTGGTGCGCGCGCGGGGGCAAATGCATCTATTCGTCCTAATCAACTTCCACAACCTCACAGCACCCCTTGCACTGCTCAAGCTCTTCCCGCAAACCATAATCACTGCCGCTTTAGCTCAAAATGCCCTCACACCCAGCTCCCCCTGCTTCATCCACCGGTCGCTCTCCACCTTTTCGCAACTGGATCCCCGGCCAGTGTACTCGACTCTTTGCCTCCCGGAGATTCTATCAGCTCTGGTACCCAGAGGCATAGGTCTCAGGCGGCTACTGGTACCTCCGCAAAGGTAGGAGAAGACGCGAGAAGGCTGGCACGCCTGAGCCTCCAGAGGACAACAGCTTCTGGGTTAAAAGCGGCGGCAATTGGGAGACAGACATTTATACTCCGAACCAGCGAAGGCGCCTTCAAAACTCCAGTAACAAGGAGAAAACCGTCAAGGAGGTACTAGGCATAGACCCCAAACTCTCGTCCCTCGACCTGCTGGTCAATTTCTTCCAGGAGGACGACGTACATGTCCAAATGTTCCTGCCTAACCATGCAGGTGTCACGCATGAAACTCTTTCATCAATCATTCGCCATTGGTTGTACAGCCACAAGGGCCCAACAAAACGATCAAGGAAAAGTATTCTGAAGGAGGTAAGTTGTGTCTGCCCTAAGCTATCTCTTGTTACTGCCACTTGGATTTCTTAGCTGGGCGTGATCAGGAGAAATCTTGAGTCAGCAGGGGGACTCTTCGGCTCGGGCGCTGGCTATGATCGTGAGGTGCAATTCATGAAGGATAACAAGCTTTGTACCAAGTATATAAAGGACATCTCCGACGCTGAAGGTGAGTGTCCAGACCAAATAGTTAAGATATTTTTCGCTGACTGCATGCGACCCAGCTACCGCGGAAGAGATCTGCCCCCACTTCAAGGACTGGGATGTAATCCTCCGAGACGTCAGACCTCTGGATGCGACTCTGCGCAACCAATCTCAAAGAAATCAGAATGTTATGCAGGAACATTTGGACATGTACGTCGTCCTCCTGGAAGAAATTAACCAGCAGGTCGAGGGACGAAAGTTTGGGGTCTATGCCTAGTACCTCCTTGACGGGTTTCTCCTTGTTACTGGAGTTTTGAAAGCGCCTTCGCTGGTTCGGAGTATAAATGTCTGTCTCCCAATTTGTTGTGGAAGTTAATTAGGACGAATAGATGCATGTTGGAGCAAGGTTGACTAGGAAGAAGTAGGAAATTACGTATCTCGGGTCACCCAAAGCATGCATCGGGCAGTCCTCCGGGCTGGACCGATTTCGTATGATAATAATGTTGAGGTGCATGTCATTGTTCCACTGAAAGCCTAAAGACACCATTCAGAGCCCCTTTTTTGACCAGCCCGACAAGCCACTAATACGGGGTGTCTATCAATTTAGGGACGTGTGATATATGCGTCTTTATTTAAATGTTCAATACGATTGATCGCTCTGACCGAAGCGGCTCACCATGATCGATGATGAAAAGGCGGACCATTATCGCCCATCCTTTTCGCACAATAACAAAGCTGCTGCTCTGGGCGCTCTCAGTCCTGTCTTCCTCGACAGCCATTCGAGCGCATCCTTCAACAAAACTCGTACCGTAAATGTTGTTTGGTGAATGTTGCATACATGATTTACACTCGCGTACAGCTACAAGTACAGCACAACGGCCAGTATCCTAAGCAACAGCGCTCCTGAGAGGCCTCGGCCTCGCCACCCTCTCCCTCGGTGGACGATGTCTCGGCGTCCAAGGACCCAGCGAATCATCCGCATAAAAGTCCATCGGATACTCCCCAGCGCCCACGAGACGCTGCATTATGCCTTCCCCTTCACCGCCCTTGCCTGACCCGCATGACTGCCCTTCCTCCTCCTTCCCACACCCGCATGAGCCTTGTCCCGAGGCACAAGGTCCCGAAGAAGCGGCTTCGAGAGTGAGCCCTTCCCATCCTCTGATCCTCCCGACAGCTACGCTAGCTTCGTAGGGACTCAACAGCGGGCGGGAGAAGGCGTAGCCCCAGTCTATAGAGAGACGGGGGCAGGAGGTTTGGATGAATGTTGATATTTGCTCTTCGGGCAGGAGGGCGAGCTTGGCTGGTGATAGTTCGGATAGCAGCAAGAGCATTGGAGGTAATGACCCTTCTGGTAACGAGTTTTGTACACTCTTCAAAACCGCCAAGCTGCCCTGTCTGCCCAAAGTGCCCAACAAGACTGCCCAACTGCCCGACCCGTGGTCTGCTAGGTTTTTCCTTGCATTCTTGACGGCGTCTCCGCGCAAGCCACGCATCTCGGTGTGGTTGTATGTTTCGCGCGTGAATTTCTTGGAGTAGGGGTCATATCGGAAGGCGGGGACGGAGGGGTTGGCGATCATGATGGATTCGAGGTGGAATCGGCCGTCACCCACATATCTGCACTATAGTCAGCACCGAAGATATGGAAGAGAGAAAAAGAGTCACATCAGACCATCGACGTCTTTCAGCTTCGGCGCCGTGCAGCCCAGAACCTCTCCGGGACTCAAGGGTCTCGCCTGAGGAATTGTCACATCATACTTTCCCCTCCATACTCCTATATCTCCTCTCTTCACCTTGACCATCATCCCATCTTGTTCCTCCCCTCCTTCTTCTACATGCTCCTTCTCCAGAGGCGGCATCGCATTCTCCAGATCCTGTCGAAGTCCCTGCGTTGCGGCGACAAACTGAATAGTGGATACCAGCGCCAGTCTCGTCGGCAAATCCTCCTCCGCAACGGAAGAAGACTGATCTCTCGCTTCAGCGTCGGATGATTCTAATGCTATGGGCACTTTGCCGCCCGGGGCTGCTTCCTTGGCACCAAGAATCAATCGCTGGAAAGCGGAACGGGATGAAGGAAAGTTGCGGCGGACAGAGAGGGAAAGATGGGGAGTGTCGATGCCGATTTCTACAAATACGTAGAGAGTTTTGAGTGTCGTCTGGGATACAGGGACTGCACAGGACTGTCAGCGCCTGTACTGAGATGACAGAAGAGACTCACTAAGGCAGGAGTGGCCATAATGTACAATCATTTCGGCACCCATTTCTCGAGCTGTGTAGTCGTCGATACCTGTGAGACCATCATGAATATCATCCAGAAAGAGATGAATGGCTGTACTCACAACAGGCACCATATGTGACATCTGCCAGCAACATTGGCAGCGCACCAGTAAAGCTACGCCAGTCAGTCAGCAACTTTACTCCTATCTTTCACAAGGTGACATACCGCTCTACTATATCCGCAATGGCGCAGCCATACATCATGAGTCCTTCCGGCATCTGCAAAGCAACAGTCTTGACTCCATCTCTGCGGACATGGTGTATCGTCTTGTGGATCTCGAAGTTGTAGTTTCCAGGCAGAGCTGATGGAAGTCAGATTTTTCTTATTGAGATCCCACAGATGGTTGATCGGACATACCAGCTATGGCAGCATTGATTGCAGGGTCTTGCAGGATATCATCTGGGACCTGGTTGGCCACCTTCCTGACTACACCCTTCGAGGACGAGGCCGTCTTGGAGCTGCCGACGAAGCGTTTTCGCGGTTTTGTCGCTGTCGAAGCGGGAGCCTTTGGTGGGGACTCTACACCCTCTGTCGGAGGCACTGCTACGGGCATGGCGAGGGTTTTGTGAAAGATATCTTGAGATTGGGAATGATAGAGATGGTCAAGATTTTGTGGCAAATGTGAGTGGAGGTGAGGGAGGATGATTACATAAGCACAACCACACCGCGATCTTCTCGCGCCCTTTCGCCTCGACACTCTCGACCGTCTTTTCCCTTGCATCCAACAAAATCAGATATGGAGACCAACCTCGCCGCCACCACAGCTGCCAGAAAGGAGCGCCTTATCGCCCTGAGAAGAAAGAAGGAAGAGGGAGAGACGAGCGGGTCAGTAGCGGCTTCGACTCCATCCGCCTCTCAATACTTAAGCTGATCTTGCCCAGCACTTTCGCCCTGAAACAACGAAATTACGATCCCGAGACTCGTAATCTGCGGAAGCGTGACGCCGAAGATGGAAATCAAGATACTGTGGAGAAGGCTGTAGAGGGGCTGGCGGAGATGATCATCAAGGAGGATGAAGAGAAGAGGGCCGAGGAGCTTGTGAGTTTGTTCTCTCCTACTCTAGTGTCACTGGGACCAGGCGAGATAGATTGCTGACACACCCCTTCAGGATCTCTTCAACATCCAACCAAAGCGGCCAAACTGGGATCTTAAGAGAGACATGGATAACCGCATGAGCAAGCTGGACCGTAAGACCAACGAGGCCATCGCCACCATCTTCCGTACGTCAATCGACCTCCTCTATCACTCTTTGATGTATCTGACATCACTACAGGTCAACGTCTCCAATCGTTGCGCAAGAACCAAGATCCCAGCGCTCAAGTCGACCTTGTTGCCAGTATTAACGCTGCCGAGCATGAGCGGGATGAGCAAACAAGAGAGGAAAGTGAAGAGGAATAGAGAGAGGGCGTATTGAGAAAGATGTGAAGGTGATCAAGAGCGCAGAGCTCACATGTAGACTATGTATTCCTATCGCTTGCTGGAACTTGCCCGAGGGCTCCAATATCGAGTGGTCTCTCTGACAGGCAGTTCCTCTGCCTTCACTCACCTTCATCGAACTCGGCACATCAAGGTTCATGGGTGCGGTCACCAATCATCCATCGGCTTGGATATGCGCACAAGAAATACAACCACGACGATTCAGCGTACGCCGAGCATTCACCCCTTCGCTTCTCGCCCAGTCCAGCCGAGCCATACGCTTCTGTGCACATGATGGCTGTACCCTACCGCTGATCGGACTCGTCCGAGGACTTGGAGCTGCATGAGCAGCGAGGACAAGAGACCCAGCTGCCAAAGATTCTGGCCCTTCAAGTGTTGTCATGATCATTTTCATCTTTGGTATCTGACTGATAATTTTTGGTATGGTTGTAGAGTATAAACGAAAGAGAGAGAGCAAAAGACAAGGGGGAGAGAAAGGTCTAGGTAGAGTATGGGTATACGCTCTATACGTTATTCAACACCATGATACAAGCTTTTGATTTTCGATTTCGATTTTGGTTTTCTAATATTCTTCTTCCTTTTACTGCTTCTTCTTCCTTCGAGATACTCAATTCTACAATAGTATACACCCACACCACGGCAAGCAAAACCCGGAAAAGAGGCCCAAAAGGCGAGAAACAAAAAAGCCCAAAAAGAGACAAGAGAGAGAAAGGCCACAAGCCGGTTCAAGCCCAGGAATAGATAGAGTCTCAGAACATTGTGCTCTGCGACCCTCCTTCAGGGAACAAGACCGCATCCTTGAACCCATTCGCAAGTTTCCCCCACTTGCTCTTCTTTCCACTCCCCGCCGCGCTCTTCACGCTCTTGGCATCCGCCTTCTCCTGCTCCCTCTCCCGCCCCATCGCAGCCTTCTCCATCACCTTCCTGTCCAACTCGGCTTTCGAGTTGGCTGCCGCAATGTCGGCCCGACGCTGGGCTTCGGCTTTGGAGAGTGCCATCTTGCGGGCTTGCTCGGCGCGGAGTTGCTCGAAATGTGCTTGGGCTTCGGCCTTTTTCTGTCGCTTTTCGGCTTCCCTGATACTACACACGTGTCGTCAGCATCTTGTTTCATGTCATCTCCAGAGAGGCAAAAAAACTTACAGCTTGGCCTCTTCCTTCGCAGCCTTCTTACTACTAGTCCCCGTCGATCCAGACGAGATCGAGCTACTATCAAACTCTCTCCCCATCCCGCTCTTCCCCTTCCCCGTATAACTCCTGATAAAACCCCCAATACTGTCCTCGCTCCAGTCCGTACCCGTAGGCGACAGAGGGTTCGACATGCCCGACATATTGGACAAGCCCGACGTGCCGGACGACTGGGTAGCGATCGACAGATGACGGTTGTTTTTCAGTGTCTGTTGGTAAGTCGGCGAAAAGGTCGAGGACGAGTAGGATGCTACCCTCGACGCTGTGGGTGGGATGGGCGAGTTGTGCACAGACTGTTGTTGCGCACTCTGAGCACGCGTGGGTAAGGGAGAAGACTCGAACGAAAACAAGTTGTGCGAGATGGGGGAGACGTTTGGTGATGGACTCGTCTGCGTCTGGCCTTGTCCCTGGCTTTGGGAGTGGTGCAAGCTCGCAGGAGGCAGCAAGCCGTGTTCCGTCGTCGTCTGCTTCTTCCCCCCCGGGAAGAGGTCGAACCGCCCATTCCCACGCGTCGGCATGGGATCATCCTCCGGCAAAACGGGCAACAACCCCGTCAACCCCGAGCCCGACGAACTCCTACTATCCATCATACCCCCTCCCCCGATCGCACCCAACCCAGATCCCGTCGAGACAGACCAATCCCTATGCTGCGGCAAGATCCAGCTCTCCCTCAAACTCAGACTCTCAGACGGCGTCGCCGGCAAGTTGGTAGCCTCTGAATTCGTGGGGGATGATGCGCGGAAGATGCCGCCGGAATGACGGTGGTCGGACGAGGAGCTGTTGGCGAGGTCGGGTGTCTTGGGGAGGTTGGGCATGTTGGGGACGGGTGGGAGACGGCCAGCGGGGGGAGGGGCGATAGGGGGTGGGGGGACGCGCATAGCACTGCGGGGAGGCAGAAGCGGTGGAAGCACCGGCGGATCCACCGGACTCTGAGCAGAGGCGGACGCAGATGCCAAGGACCGGTCCGACTCTCGCCTCATCGCGATACTCGGCCTCAAACTCGACGCGGGGCTCGAGGGTAATCTCGGCAATGGCGCTGTCGGTGCCGGGGACCCGTTCGACTTGACGCGCAGAGAAGAGAGGAGGGCGGTGACTTGCCTGTGGTCTTCCTCTGGTACGTCCGATTCGGCGAGAGGGGTGGTGTCGGAAGGGATGGTATCAGAGTCGGCACGTGCACGGCGGATAGGCGCTTCACCGCCCGCGGCGAAAGAACCAGAGCCAGATTGCGTGTTCCCGGCGGGCGGCGCACCATTACCAACAGCACCTCCCTGAGGTCTGAACTCGTTCGAGGGTGAGGTGCCATTCTCCACACCAGTAGAGGCATCCGGCTGTGATCGATGTCCCCTTGAAGAACTTGAACCGCCCTTTCCGCCCTATACCAAAAGTCAGCCTCCGTCCCCAGATACAAGTATGAAAGAGAAGACTCACATGAACGATATTCAACGCGCGCACCTGCAAATCCCTCTCCCCAGCCAACGTCGCAATCTCATAAATCCCCACCGCCGCCCCCCCTCCCCCATCCAACCGCCCATGCAAAGCATGCACCACCAGCCTCACCAACCGCTCCAAACCATACTGCTTGCCGATAAACAACAGCGCCGACAGGATCGGGGCGCGGTTCTGGAGTGGCGTAGAGAGGGAGAGGGTGTAAAAGTATTGGACGAGGGCGACGCAGACGGGGAATGGTTCGGACAAGGTGAGGGTGGAGGGGGAGAGACGGGCGGGGGTGAAAGAGCCGAGGAGGGTGTCGTTGATGTCGACCGCGGGCGCTTCGGTGATGACGTTCTGCGTCTCCCTTCCCAGCGCTTTTTCTTGTTCATTAAACCACGGCCACCTCTCACTCAACACCTTGCGCGAACACTTGACCCGCCGGCCGTCGTCGCAAATGACTTCAAAGTCCGAAGCGAGCTTTTCATCCATCATCGACAGGCCTGTCTGCTGGACTTTCGGAGGCACGACGAGGGACGGGGGCTGGTAGATGCCGAAAGCTTCGAGGGAGATGACGGCCATGTGGTCGAGGTTGACCGCGCGTCGGCTGTAATCTTGCGCGAGGTCGAGCTGGGAGTTGCCAAACACCAGCACCTTGCCCCTCTCGGCCCACACGACAGCCCTGTTCCAGCTCCCGCCAGCAAGAGCAGCAGGCTCGATATGCCGCCAGGCCATCGTATCCATGTTGAGCGCCCAGATGGAGAATTTACCAGACACCGAAGCGAGGTAGAGACCGCAGAGGATAAAGTGGTTGCCGACGATACCGCCGGTGGGGAAGCGCAACCCGGGAGGCTGGGAAGACCCGCGCATGAGGGCGGATTTGTCGAGGATGGCATAGTTTGGCGGGGGGTTGTGTTTCGCCGTGGGCTGGGAGGAGGAAGAAGGCGAGATGATGTCGAGTTCGCGTCGGACCTTGGCAAAGTCATAGTTTGAGTAGCACCACACGTCTATACATTCCATTAGCTCAGTTCCCGAAGCGAGCTGAATGAAACTTGCCTCCACCCTCGCCTTCTTCATCGACAGAGTATGATTGGGAGCCAGGCTTGGACTCTGGAGCAGGGGTGATGACGCGCTTGGACGAGCTCGCCGCTACACTCCTATACGCTCCCTTCGAAAACATCCCTCCCGCCTGAGGCTGCTCCGTCTTGGACACCCATACTCTACTTTGCAAGTCGTACACGTTGATCTCGTAGACCCATGAATTGTCGCTATGCTGCCCGCCAGAAACGACCAGCCGGCCCCTCGAGATGGCGCTCAAATGGGCATACCTCGGCGATGGCACCAGTCCTGGATCTTGCGCGGCCATATCGATCCCCAGGCCGATCCCACCACCACTGGGCGAAGGCTGTGGTAACCACCGTCTCGCCGAGCAGTCGAACACCCAGACATCATTGTGCACCGCCATATTCGGCTCGGCGTCCGACATGCCGCCAAAGCAGACGAGCTTGTCTTGGTAGACGTCCATGGAGTGAAAGTACCGGGGCGAGGGCCCGGGTCCGGGGTCGATCTGGGTCCAGGTGCGGGAGGAAATGTCCATGGCCCACATGTTGGCGGTGAGCCGGCGGGTGAGGACGGATTTGCCGCCAAAGAGGAATATGGTCGGGGGGTGTGGGAGGGGGAGGGGGGAGATGGTGACCGATGGGCCCTGTGGCGGGTCAGTACGCGTCGCAAGAGGGGCGGGGGACGCACCGTAAGAGGGGGCGGGACGTGGCCCTTTGTGGCCTCTGTCCAGCTCATGGCGTGGGCTGTTCCGGCGTCCATCTTGGTTGTTGCAGGGGGGATGCTAGGAGCGTGCTGTCCGCCTTATTATGAGGCGCGCGGGCTGAAAGGCGGCTGATGTGATGCAGAGACTGTAATAATAAGGGACGGACGGACGAGGTCGCGATGGGCTGATTGGGGGGATACTTTGAGGCCGCGCTCGGACGGGGAAGGCGCTGTGGCGTCGGGGTAGGGCGGTCGTGAGGACGGGCTGCAGGGAAAAGCAATTGACACAATCAGCCAGGGCCATCACCGCTCAAAGGGGTAGCTCACTCTTGCACCACACGCTGCACGTCGCAGGATGGTCTAGCCTCAGAAGGAGAACGTCGCCGCCAAGGGAAACGGTCGAGCGGGCGCCAGAAGAGAGTCCGACAAAAAAGTCGAGATCTCTTATTGTTCTATCGTGCAGGGGGTGTAACAGGTGCCTGGCGCAGGTGGAGGCCGTAGCAGGGGCTTTTGAGATCAAGGGGGTGGAGATGGCCTTTTATAGAAAGATGTCGAGATGCCGATGGGTGATGGTAGCCAGTCTGTGGGAAGGGGAACGATCAGCAAAACAGGTCGCACCCACAACGAGCTCTATATCCCTTTTTAACGTGCCCCCTGCACGGCCAATAGGCCCTCCAAGGCCGATCCGTCAATCTCGAGACAAGTGCCATTCTTACCCCGCCTTAGATGGCTTTCATTCCCTGCATCTGCCCTATCCCACCCTTGCGTCAGAAAACATGCATGGTTCCATGGAGCCGGAACTGAAACCAGCCGCTGGAGTTACGGTATGAGCGGATTCCGACGAGAGGAGACACAAAAAAGACTTGTTGCGCGCTTCGCCTTTTTCGCGCGGGGTTCGGAGGGTACGCGACCGTCTTAGATTAGGGCGATTAGGGAGGGTTTTCCGAACTGCTTATTGTCCTTCCCTGGTTTCCGCAGACGTCACCCTTGCACCGTTTTGCTCGTTTCTCGTGACTGCTGCTTGATCCTCGCATATCAACTCTCCTCCCCTTCCTTCTTCGTATCAGCATCTATCCCAGCTCTCTGCTCCCCGTGTCCATCTCTGGTTTGTCTCTCAACTTTCCAGTCGTCTCCTCTCTCACCCTATCGTGCCATTCTCCGTTTCGCCAGCTCGTCAGATCATTACGAGAGTACCGAAGTCCGAAGCGCATTGACCACCGGTGCCACCGGTTTCACCAAAAAAAAGACCAAAAAAAAGTGTCACCCATTCTCAATCCCCTTCCGCGTCTCCGCCCCTCTTTTCTCCCATCGCCGTCCAATCGCCCCAGATGCGATGCCAGAAGCCAGATGCACCATATGGTATAGTCCCAATACAATGAATTCACGCGTGCCAGGTGCATACGTACCGCACTAAGCTACAAGTACGAGCCCATCCCTGACGCAAGGAGGGGATCAAATTATCTTGGAGGACAGGCCGAGGGGTCTCCGTCTGGGCCTCGCTCAATTAAAAAGTCGGACTTGAGACCCTAGAACTTGGGGGGCACTTGTCACTTTTTTGTACATATGGTCGAAATTTCTCATTGTCCATGTTCGGTAAACCGACGTGCCGACGTACTTGTGCAAGTTGGTTCATGAATTGAATCGAAGAAAAAAATGTCTTTGAAAAGCCCCGAGTCCGAGTCCGACTGACCATACTGTCCGAATGGCAGGATGCTTGATGACCTCGATGCAGTGGGTGACGACTCTGACGAGCGATGATCAAGCGATGAGCGAGCGACGGACAGCGCTTCTCTTTCCTCTTCCTTCCCTCTCTTTCTGCCTGCCTGCCTCTCTCCCTGTCTCTTCTTACACAACCCCCACAAAGTCGAATACTGAGCAATGAAGATCGCGACGGAGAGATGCACCCTGCCATACTCGTATAAGTGTGCTAAGCGCTGTACCGACCATCAACCCCATCAAATGCCATCATCCCAAGACCCAAGGCCCGCTGCTGTGCTCCTCCGTCCCCCCTGTTCCTCATTTGGTTTCTGGACCATGCGGTATAACCCGTCCCAGATGTCAGAGGCCTCAGATCTCAAGTGCAGTAGTGGCACATGGCACATGGCACATGGAGCGGTGCGTCCGCGCTGGACACTACTGGAGAAAGTGAAAGGTGTATGCCGAGAGAATGCAATGGTACTCCCGCTCAAATGGTCTTGCCGTCCTCTTCCGCCTGACTGCATGCTCCTCGTCTTTGGCTCTTTACTTGAGGCGCTTTGGGTGGGTGATGTCGCAAGAGACCGAGCTCATACCGACCTTTCACCTAGCTATGTGGTGTTCTCTCGTACTCTACTGTGCAAGACATGTAACGCTGGAGCGGGGCGCTTACTGTATCTTCTCACTACTGACCTGCCTTATCTCGTACTTCTCCGCCTCCCGCCTCTTTGTTGAGAGAAATGAGAAACATGAACGAAGTTGGATCATCGACAGCGAGAAGTCAAAGGAGATATGAATGACGCTATCCATGCTTCGGACCCAGAAGGCTTGAAGTTGCGCACAGTTCCGAGTCCGAGCCGGAGACAAAGAAAACACCCTTCAAAAATCCACCAGTGCACCACGTCCACATCACCAATATCTCACCAACTTCAGAAAAGAAATGAGAAGTCGCCGATTTTACGCGCGACGCGCCAAACCCACCGCACCAGGTCCGAGCACTAATGACGCTAAACTTGATCATTCCTTAACCAAACCCTGGGCTAACCATTTGCTCACATTGGTCAAATCGTTGTGCGTTCACGCGCTTCAACGGTGTGACTGTGGGTGCCATGCATGTCTGGCGGAGCTGGGGCGGATGGGCGGACTAACTCGTTTCGGTATTCTTCTTTCCCCTCTCGAGATCCTGAGTTCCTGAAGGCTTGAAGTGCCAAATGGCAGTGGCTGGGATGTAACGTAGATCCGATCTTCTTTTTACGTTTCATGGATCATCCTCCCTGTCCATCTTTTCCTCTCGGAATGTATGAAAGTGAGCATGGACGTTTAGGACGTGCGGCCGCTATGAAGGAGAGAAAGAATTGCTGGTAGTCTGATTTCTTTCCTCCGCTCCCTGCTGAAGGCCAGGCTGTCTGAGTGCTGGACAATGGCTGCTGTCCCTGCTGGTGGACAATGACCGGGTCTCTCGTCTTCTTCCTCCCGTGCCGCCACAGCCGCGCCGAATTATGTGACCCAAGCTATTGTAACCCCCATACCAAGGCACACGGCAAGTCTCACATTCGTGTCCTGCTCTTACGTCTTAACCGACCGCGGCCCGCGGTAGCCGCCTTACCAGAGTCAGAAAAAGTTTGATACCGAAGAGAGCTGTGCGAGCTATGTCTTGCATGTACGTACAGCCCAAAGACAAGGACACTTCATCCATTTGCCTGACTGCGAGAGTGGATCCAAGACAAGTCTGACCCACATATCTCAACGAAAAAGAAAAGCGATGAAGTGGAGAGCGGAGAAGTGAAGAGAGGGGAGGGTGAATAAGGGCCAACGGATAAGCCGAAACCCGAATACCGCAAGAGACATCGGTTAATCGAGCGTTATCGCGCGAAATGGTGAGACTCAGATAACCAGTTTTGGAAGGTTCAAAGAGGACGTTCGAGAAAGACGGAGTAACACAGTCTACTGATTAGTAAGCCAGTAGATACATACTATTGACAGACTCTGCCCTATTTGAACTCTCCATCTCTAACTATGTTGAGGCTAGTTGGCAGTTTCGGCAGGAAGTCAAGTCAAGCCAAGCGACGAGGACTTTTCCGCCGGCTCTTGCCATACATGTTACGCCGTCAAACTGCCAGGGCTCAGAGCTCCTCTATGCTACCTCCGAAAGGGAAAGAGTGTCACTCGCAAGTCGCACGTATGAATGATGGTTCATGAGGGTAGGGAAGAGGTACAGGTACACTTTGCGCTCGCGCCGTCTTTCCAACCTTGTCTTCCATGCGGTTCACCACCCGTTTCCGGATGGGGCGACTGATATTGGGCTTTACTTTACATGCCAGGCATATGCCAAAGTAACACATATGCCGCATAGGTACATGGTATGGTACGAAAACGTTGGCTGTTGGCAAGTGGCAGCACGGTGGTGCAACCATATCATGGCGTGTGTATCTCAGCGGAGTCGACTGGTTACTGAAGAGTTGAAAGGCTGGAGATGTCGCGTTCCCACATCGTCTCCTTGGCTCAAGCAATACATGATCCCCGTTCCCCATGATGTACAGCTCGCAGCACGACCCTCGACCCTCGAGCCCCATCCCCTCATCCCTCGTTGTCGCCGCCTTCATTCATCGACCCTCGCAATTATCTCCCAATCCACACCGTCCCCCTGCCCATCCCTTCAAAGATTTATACAGCCACCCATGCACGTAAGCCACATTGTGATGGGAGACAAGGATAATGTGTGCCTCACGGCTCCCGGGTGTGATTATGTCCTATGCACATCATCCGTCATGTCGGGTTGGTACCTTGAGGTTGACCGACGACGACGGTTCCGAAGGCAACCCGGTGCCTCCAAATCAGTCCGCATGCTGTCCTTTCCTAATTGGGCCCTGTTCTCTCCGCTGACCGAGCCCATACATCGGCCATGGCACGCTTCCACATCTCCCAAGATCCCCAAACCACGGAATGTCAACGAACATGAGCAAAACGCGTCCTCACTCCTCATTTACGCGTCGAAACTCTATTATCCACGCGAGATACGCTAAAGTACAGGCAGGCAGGTTGGTAGATCCGATCTCAATTAAACCGAAAAGAAAGCTCCTATCAAACTCCGAAAATCACGCAATATGAGTACGAGTACGTAATAGTATCGCACTGCAATTTACCCCCCATTTTGCATCAATCACCGAAAGACGCAGCTAGCGCCAATGGGTTAGCTGGATCGTAGCATTGTTTGGTCACACTCACATTTTTATCTCCTATATGAAAAGTGTCCTTAGATCCTAGTGTACCCTACCCTGTTGATCCCCGTGTCATCAGTCACTACGCATCTGGTTTTCGTCATCGATGATTCAGTCGAGTGCATTGAGTGGTCGGGTTGAAGGAGATGATTTTGACGCGGAAAGTGGGACCATGTGCTCTGATTGAGTTCTGATGGTAGTCAAGTACATATGTCGTTCTTATGAAGACCTTTGATTCTCGTCATCATGACCTTTGATCTCTCTAGAGATCCATGCATTGCAACTAACTTTGATACAAATATCAGACAAGAAAAATCAAGGGGGCATGGCGGTCATATGGTATTCGATTCTAGGCCGGAACTCGTTTATAAAACCTGCAACGATCGATCAGCTCTCTTTCCAACAAAGCTTCTAGCGTCTCCTTCTCTACCCTTCGACCATATGATCGTCTGCCGATCAACATGCGATGAAGCGAAGGATGGACGGACTCTCAAGACGATCATCTGCCATCTGCCCTTTTGCATCCCCGTTCCGGAAGCGGGCTTGATCCGAGGCTGAGCAGAGCCAAACAAGCCATACAATCCACACATGGCGCTCCCCGATTGGGACCACGCGAACGACGAGCCACAGTTCAAAAGAGGACAGGATCGGTACTCACAAAATGTATGCAGGACGTGACTAGAAGAAAAGCAC